TCTTTTGTCCAGCGCCTAGAATGGGGGGCTCTGAGCTCAAACGTACCGCATCCATTGGGGATCTTCGGTTATTATCTCGCCCGGCGTCACGATCGCGTCGTCGCTTTGCCTGTAAGATCGCCCTCTTCCGCCGCCCATAGATACGTCGCCTTCAATGTCGACACCGCCTTCGTCGGAGTCGGAATCTGAGTCTGCGGCATACTGGCTGTTGTGGGAGTTGTAGTCGGGCGGTGGTGCGGGTTGTATTATTGTGATTGGCATTTTGGAAGCGAGTATTGATCGGGTTGTGGTCGATTTTTAGACAATTAGGTGCCGAGGTTGGTGGAATTTCGAGTAAGCTTCGTAAAGATTGGTCGTATTGTTAGCTGCTGTCGAGAATTGGTGTTTTGTTGCTTTTACTCATGACATTAGACAATGTTGAAGGGAGCTTCGTTCGCAGAAGCAAAAGTCACTAGCACGCCCCACCATAATTATGACACTAAAATTACGGCTCAGCTGGACAGACAATCATACGTCCAGCATCTGGGTACATTAGGACCAAAAGTCAAGAAAGAGACAGGACAAGCTGTAATCGACCTGATTGGTCAGAACAGGTACCGCAGGCATATCCAAGCCAATGATCTAGTACTTAGTACGAAGTACGCGGTACTCCGTACAGAAGCTCCGTACAGCTCAAGAAAACCCACATCCAATCCCACATGGTATGAATCCACAATAAAAGCCCATATTTCAGGATCCCTGTATCCGTATCCATTCGTCAACGTTTTGCATGTGATGTTCAGTTCAGCCTACGAAGTACTTCGTACCTACTTTCGAATCGTCATCTTCATTCTCATGTAATACTATTACAAGGTTCCAAGTGCCATTCTTGTATTGCGACATCAGAGACCACACGTTTCATATTTTCCCTGTTTATATTATCATATGTCTTTTGGATGAGCTCCTGTTGTGATGCGATAGATAGGACTCATGTCCCTGTCTCTTACGTCATCGTGAAGCCTGCTTCATACAATCAACACAGCAGCCGAGGCAGGCCTTGTTAGAGCAACATTGAACAGACAGTACATAAGACAGAATATGGACGACTATAATACCGAATCCTTCGTCAACCGCGACGACCCTATACCAACCATCATCCTCAACAACCCGTCACCACGGCCCGAGACACCGACGCCCACAGCTTCAGAGAAACGAGGCGCCGGCCATGACTCCAGCCAGTCCGATACCGAGACGCCGTCGCGCAGCAGCGGCGGCGGTGGAATACGCAGCCGCTTCTCGGCGCTGAAGGAGAAAGCGCGGATACAAGACCACCTGATCGAGAAGCTGCTGTCGCAAGTGGTACCGCTGGACGATGCCGAGATGCCCAAAGACTCATCGGGGCTGCCGGGGCGGACGTCGAAGCCCAACTTCACGCTGGCGACCATGTCGAACAACTTCCGGCGCTTCAACTCGCGCATCGGCGTAGTCTTCGTGTTTCAGGCGCGTGTGATCCGCTTGCTCGCATGGCGGCGGCCCACGCAGACCATGTCGTTCCTAGCCGTGTACACGTTCGTGTGTCTCGACCCCTCTCTCCTGCCGCTACTCCCGCTCGCGATCCTGTTAGTCGCCGTGCTGGTGCCGAGTTTCGTAGCGCGGCACCCGGCGGCCGAATTCAACCTCACGCACGAGCAGGCCATCAGCTACGCGGCGTACGGGCCGCCGCTGGCGCCCGCGGTGACGGTGAAGCCAGTCAAGGAGCTGAGCCGCGACTTCTTCCACAACATGCGCGACCTGCAGAACAGCATGGAGGACTTCAGCCAGATGCACGACGCCGTGGTGCGGCTCGTGGTGCCGCGCACCAACTTCAGCAACGAGGCGCAGAGCAGCGCGCTCTTCGTCGTGCTCTTCGCCGCCTGCCTGTTCATGAGCATCGCCGCCAACCTGCTGCCGTGGCGGCTGATTTTTCTCTTGGCCGGCTGGGCCGCCACGTGCGCCGGCCACCCGATGGTGCAGAAGCAGCTCGAGACGGCGCACAAGAAGCACGTGCAGCCGCAGGAGGAGAAGGCCAAGCAGGCGGCGACGCGGGTGGAGAAGTGGATCGAGCGCGACGTGATCCTCGACAGCGCGCCCGAGACGCGCGAGGTCGAGATCTTCGAGCTGCAGCGCCTGTCTTCGCACACCAGCAGCGGCGAGTGGGAGCCCTGGCTGTTCTCGGCGTCCCCCTACGATCCCTTGTCGCCGCAGCGCATCGCCGGCGACCGGCCCACGGGCACGCGCTTCTTCGAGGACGTCCGCCCGCCCCAGGGCTGGGCCTGGAGCGAGAAGAAGTGGGCGCTCGACCTCTGGAGCCGCGAGTGGGTCGAGGAGCGCATTATTACGAGTGTTGAGATTGAGACCGAGGGCGAGCGCTGGGTCTACGACATCTACGACGAGAAGAACGACTACAACAAGATCGGTGTTGTTATCGATGGCTCGACGTTTAGTAGTAATAATGACAACAATAATAATACCAATAATAAAGTCAAGACAGCAGTGGACGACGGCGCCGTGCCTACGTCTACGTCCACGCCTACGCCCAAGCGCCCGAAGCCGAGCTGGGAAGAGGGTGAAGATGGAGATGGACGCAGAGGTGACTGGAGACGCAGGAGGTGGGTTAGGTTAGTCAAGAGGAAATTCGTCAGTAGAGATGCGCTGCCGTAGTATGGCTGGATACTTAATTGATTGATTGATCATGGATCCCCTATTCCTAACCTACAAGTCTCTTTATGCTATGATTCTGTGCTAACTTGTGTACGATAAGTCAGCTCACATGCAGATTGAGTAGTATAGTACCTAAGATACTTACTTTATGATGTTTCATCCTATTTTTTATCAAGCGCAGACCCGTCCCTATAGCAAGACCTTTTTATATTACATTAAGGTTAAATTGAATGCGGCTACACCGTGGATTGGATTAGATTGTATGGACCGCACTTGTGTGACGGGTTCCCGGGTCTTTCACTCCGGCGCCATGGCGATGAGGTCACACAACTGCTTCTCCTCGATCAAAGCGGAGTGCTTGCTTACCACCACCACCACCACCACCACCAGCGTCTTATCTAAAACCGGTTCTAATTCCCTACTTTTTCTGCTATTGATTCTTTATACTTAGCAAATGACTTAGGTATAATGGACTCTATTCGCAATGAATGCTTCACGCATGTAGCATTTCAATCAAATTCATCAGACAGAACAAACACACTTCTCTGTCCTCGCTTGATCGGACATCATTTTCAATCTATGTCTTTCACATGACTGTGAATCATCCTATCTACTACCCTACTGTTGTGTTATATTATTCTGTGTAAAGGGCGCAGGCACCCAGCCACGAAAGCAATCAATTTTCGAGTGATACTAGCACAACAACATTACCGTACTACTTATATAATAAGAGAGATCACCTCATCATCTCGCCTTTCGCACCCCTTAGAGCTCTTCCAAATATCGACAAGCTCCTAAACATCCAATGTCCTTCTCCCTCTAACATAATTACTATACTTCACTCCCATCGGATAACTTACATCCTGCCACCAATGGCGCCCCCATCCAACCGTATCGACATCCCCATCTCCCCAGCACCACCACTGCTAGAAGCGCCAATGATCTGGAACTCGTCGACGACGGAAGTTCTAGCGGGCATATTCTTCGGCCTGTCGGCCGCGCTCCTGGTCATCGCCCTCCCGCTTACGCTATGCAACTATTGTCGCGCGCGGAGACGAGGGTCCGCGAGCGAGGGACGGTTGGAGATATAGTCCAGCCTAAGCTAGATACTTGATGATGATGTTATTGTGCTTGGAGGGAAGTGAGGTGTGATGAGAAAAGAAGTCTGCAGTACAGGGGTGAGCTGATTGGGGGATATAGAGGTGCTCATCAGAATCAAGCATCATGCTTGACAGTAATTTATTATGCAAAGAATGATGCCTGATTTCGACAAGTATCTCCGTACTATTAGGGATGGATCATTCGGGACTGGCCCCCTTCATATTTTGAGGAGACTATCTGAAATGGAAAAAGAGGCGAAGGAAAGTTCGAGAGGGAGATAGAAGGCGATCAAATGCGTGAATGGATGAGTGAGTGGCGCGGGGAATAAGAAAAACCGAGGACGGGAGTGGGCGAGCAAGATTGACAGCTCTCAATGAAGCCGAGGATATGTTCATACATAAAAAACAGGCAAACTGCGAATGAGAAAGCAGCAATGAACTGGAAAGGGGGACCCCACGACTCGACTTCACGACTCCTCATGTCAGTTCTAATAGAACACAATACCGTACATACAACGAGTCAGTGTGATCAACCATAGTGGTTGCTCAATTCATTTGATCTATCCGCATCAAGCCTATATACACGAAGTACATGAAATAATTCAAACTACCAATATCATCAGAGACGTGTCTGAAACATGGACCCTCGAATGCACCCTGGACACATGGACTGATTGAAAGAATTGTCCGCTTGATCACAACTCAACTGAGGAATTAGGCCTCCTTGACGGGATACGAAGATCTGGGATCCTGGCCGTCAGAACTTCCGAGGGCCGACTTGGAAATCAACTCCAGGAGGATTGACGAGACAGGTTTTTCCCCTGCAGAAGTGCTATTGGGATGGAAAACTCGACCGACAGCTCCAGTGTTGGGAGAAAGAGCGGAACCTGTGTACATCGAAGATCCCATGGCTTCCGAGACTCTGATGGAGAAGAGGGAGGAGAATCGAGAACATATGCGAAGTCATCTGATCAAGAGAGAGACGGAAAGGCCCCCAACGTCAGTGTCCAAACATTCATCCAGTTATCTAATCAGACGCATCTTCTTTCTCGTACTTTACCTGCTCCCTCCCATCCAGCAAAGCCATCCATCACCCACCCCAATCCAACCAATCCCACCACACCACCACTGTCCAAAAATCATCCCCACCTCAAAACTCCACAACACTAAACCCAATTCCACCCTTCCCCAACTATCAAATTTTCAAAAAGAAAGGTTCAATGGTCAGTATGGGGGTCGAACCCATGACCTTCGCATTACTTAGTATATCTTGCGATATATTAGTACGACGCTCTAACCAACTGAGCTAACCGACCCTTGTCCGTTGGTGTTGGTGTTGTCTCTCGATGGGAGAGAGCCGTGTCATTTGGCTCCAAGTACTTCGTAGCACTCGCTTGCGGAATGATTGATGTCTGAGAAGGAAAGCACGAGGAAGGACCACTTTTTCCGTCCTCTCCTCCTAGGTAGGTAGGCAGACTGCTACAGACCCGTCTCGCGCTTAAGGCAAATAAATACTGAACAGACGAAAAAGCGCCCTAGCGATACAGCAGACCAAGTCCTCATTAAGAAGAGAGCCACCGACAGCGGCGACACCGTAAACGTCACGGAAAAAAACTCCAAAGTCTGTGTTGTCGCATAAAAAAGATTTCAGCGCAAGCTTGGGCATCTCTCTTTCGCGCTCAGTAACGCCCACATCTAGAAAGACCTTGCTCCCAAGATCCCGTCTTCAGCAGCTGAATGATTCAGCGAATACCAAAGATCAGATCGAGATCCCGTCGGAGGACGATGAGGATTTACCACGGGACATCCGCCGACGCATAGCAAAAGAACAGAAGGAAAAGAAGGAATCTACCGGTACTCTGGAGCTTATGACCCCACGTCGTCGTTGAACAATCTTGGACCTCGTGCACCTTCGATCCTTCACCTCAGTCTATCACATCACAGCATCCAAGACACAAACCATGCATTTTATACATCACTCCTAAAAACCAGTAACAAATAATCTTATACTTCATTGATATCTACGAACCCAAGTACCGAAATCTTTGAACATTTGCAGTTTATCGACGGCTAGGTCGGTTCGGTTCGGCTATGCTTCTTGGTTACGAATGCCTGCTCCTCTCCCCTCGCCTTGGTGAATGATCAATCTCGGTTTCCACAACCTGGCTAAATGAAAGCCCCGCGCCCCATGCCGCCGTCTATGATGCATTAAAAGCTATGATGGATGGATGCTATTACGTTTCCCTGTCATTCTTGGTATTCCATGGTCGTTTGTTCATGCATGCATCAGGCCCCGAAGAGTATGGACAAGAAGGAAAAATAAACAGAGTAGAAAAACGAAGGTGACGCCGCGATAAATGCCCCCCGACTCCTTGCACATTGATCAAAATTTGCAATCAGAAACACCCGAATTCAGTAGACCGCCTGGCATAAGGACTTAGTGCCTCTTATATTTCTAAATAGATAGTTAGTTGTCGGTTGACTACTGATTGGAAGAATAGTAAACTCACCTCATCTACACGTCGCCTGTTCTGGGGATCCAGAGAATTGGTCGCTCCTAGCAGAGTCTGGCCAATAGCTTTGCTCGAACCAATAAGGGGTCTGAAGATTATAGTGGGCGCGCGGTTCAATACGGCTTTCGCGGCTCCTTGGGCATTTCCGCTCTCCATTGCCTCACTAGGTACGGCAATGATTGCGTCCCTTGCTAGGTTGAGATCGCGGATCAAGCTAGAGTACGCACCCCTGAGGCCTTGAACTACGCCACTCGGTTGGTCGGCGTAGAGACTTATTTGTCTCGTTTCTTCGGGTTCCGTATCTTCGTCGTCCCAATCAGAGGGCTCACGAGCGTCAGGCTGTTTGGTCAGCATACCCTCAGCACCCTGTAGGGCATATTGCGTGCCAATGGCAAGCTTCGCTCCTAACTTGACAAGTTCAGTTCCCGTTGTCTTGGCGAATGCAGCAGCACCTTTCCCTAAGCTGCGCACGATTCTTCCGTCTTTTCGATATTCTCGGATGGGGATCTCAACGAGGTCCCTAAAACCGCTGCCAACGTTGACGAGCGAGCGAACAGGCGCAAGACCAGCGAGTACCCCAGGAAGTTGGGTTCGCTTAACATCAGGCATCCAGGTATCATTCAATGCCTGGCCTAGCCTATCGAATCCGGAAGCTCCGTATACAATCGTGCGGCGTAGGACCATGCGAGATTCTTCCAGTACCACGAAATTCATGAATTCAGTAGTATGGCCCGACCGAAGACCAGCATAGTCAACACGCTTTGGTTTGAAGTCAAGAGTGACAGGTATGGAGTCAATATCTGCCCTCTGTATGAAAGGCACATCGCTAGGCGAAGCATGAGTCGGTTTCGAATCATCCTTGAACTCGAAGAATCGTGTGATGAAATCAAGAGCATCTTGGTCGACATGTAATCGAAGGGGGAGGACATTGGCTCTCATAACAATCTCGGCTGCAGCTAGTTGAGGCAGCGGCTTGACGTTGAGTATCTCAATGTGAACCATGCTGGCATCCATTTCTCGCTCACCGGCGTCCTGGTTGTATGTGGCAAACTTCCTCCATGTTGATGTAGGAACATGGTCAAATACTACCAGATCTTTCACACGAACATCAATCGAGCTTTGGGTCTCACCCGAGTCTGGAGGAAACGTGACCAGGTCGACATTAATGCCTTTCAATTCAAAGGTGATTTTGTGCCGCTTGCTGCGATTGAGCCGGAGCTTCTTCTTGGAGCGATGCGCACCGCCTTGTCTACTTGTCGTGACAGTCATTGCTGTGGTGGCAAGCGACTCGGTTTCGGTAGCCCCATCATTCAGCTCTTGATTAATGGCTTGCGCGAGTTCGCGAGGGTCACGGTTTGCGGGAATACCGATATATATGGAATTGAAGAGAAAATCTCCGATGACTGTCTCCTCGTCCACAATTTCCATATCGGTTATGGCTCGCGCACGATCTTGTCTGCTCTGTCGTTCGATGGCTGTTGTTTCGATATCGTGAACAGCCTTTGAGATGACATCGCGCGTATGATCCCAGTCATAACCGTCAAATAGGTTCCAGATAAAGTGAACATCACGAACACGGACCAAGAGTGGGCTTTTGTGGACTTTGGCGTCATTGGACTGGTCATAAGCGTTTTTAGTTGAGTTCCACCGGTGTGCCGTTCCCTCTATGACCGGCCTGGTACTGAAGTAGTTCTCATTAATAACTAGCTCATCATCGTCATCTAAATCCTCTGGTTGGCTGCTGAAGTTGGTCAGTAATACACCGTCAGTAGTGTCCTGCGCCGTAGTTTTGTCGGATAGGATAGAATGGGCTAGTTGCGCATCCGCGTCTGAATCGCCGTAAAATTGCGAGTTGACAGCCAGAGAAGCTGAGTAATCAGAGCCCTCAAGATCAAAGGAGCCATCACCATCTTCATCGCCTAGTCCGTGGGCAAGAAAATCGTCTTCGAAGTTATAATCTCCTTCCGCTCTACCAAAAGCATCTGCCGAAATTGATGCAAGTAAATCTTGCATTGGGACGACATTAGTCCTGTATTTGATTTCCTTCTTCGGGGGTGTCGGAGGAGCCAATGCGTTCGCAAGTGCAATGAGAGTCTGGGTTGAGTCTGCACATGTCTCTAGCACCAACAGGTCATCGCGAAATTCGACATCAACCCATTTCGATCCGTCATCTTGGTAGACGCCAGTTTGAATAACAACCTTCGCGGAGGAAACGTAACAAATGTCAATAAATCCTTGCTGGCAAAGTTCTACTACCTGTGTCGCTGTGCTTGGGGAATGGCGTCTGGATGTAGCCGAGGGAGCGGTCTTGGAGCTTTTGGCAGATATGTCATCAATAAGTAGTATTGATACCTTGTTCAAATGGCCTAGGACGTTTGCATCATCTTCACTAGAGACGGAAACTTCAAACTGGGTATTGGTCAGTGCGATTATCATTTTCGAAGAAAGTCCCAGAGGATTTAAACCAAGAAGGCAGTCATGGAGAATGATGTCAACCTTAAGGGGTTTTTCTTTGCCCTTCTCAGTCGTCGATCGATTTGTCTGAGGTTTTCCCATAATCGCTCCTTGAGCTTGCTCGCCTAAGTGAGCGACTGATGCAGCAAGAGATGCTTCAAAATCCTGGGGCGTAGCATCTTTTTCGAGGCCTAGTAGGTCCATTAAGGTTGGAACCCGATATTCGATTTCTAAATACCGCATTCTTAATTTGACGACAGGTTCCGGGTCATCGCCAATCAATCTCATAGTGACTACTGGGCCGTGATCCCCTTTGCGCGAAGATGGAGCGGAGGAAATCAACTCTTCACTATGATTACGCCGTAGAGAAACATTACCCATCCCTACGGCGACTAGAGAAGGCATCGTAATGTGTGCGGCCTCGAGAGTTTTCAGTGATGCTTGTAGAACACCAATCCTGTCGTTAGTAACGACAGTGACGTCTATGTTACGAGCAAGCGCAAGAGTGAGAAGGCCGGGTCGGTCATCTTCTGGCAAATATTTGGCCACGGTAGACAGCCGTGCGATGTCTTCCCCAAGAGTCGGAAGTATCTGAAGCTGCTCGATATTTTCAATGTTGATATCGAGATCATCAACGTTTATGCGCAAAACTGAGCCTTTCCTTCGTTGCCGGAGGAGAGTATCGACCATTATCTCGTCGTCGTTCTTGTCAAACTTATACTTAGACGGAGTGATAAGCTCTAGGAGGCGTTCCAAATCGTTGTCCTTTGGTGCATTCAAAAACTCGATCCGCGTATTTGTTATCACTGCATGAACCGACGGGTCTGCCGTTGACTGCCTTACGCATGGACCTGTAAGCTGAATCTTTGAAATGCCAACCCCGAGACCTTCTTCTCGACTGACTAGCTTCACTGCGCTAGTATCCAATGAAACACTGCATTCTTTACCAAGAAGATCCAGGCGCACGCCTCCTATTCTCATATTGATCTTGTTCTCAGAATTCGCAGAAACATCATCTGGGCGTATGGGCGCATCAAACCGAACACCTCGAGCTTTTTGCGGAGATTTGGACGGACTTTGTGTTATTGGCGAACGAGTGGCGCTCATCGAAGAGTTCAAGTTGAGAAATCCACTTAATCCTCCAAACCACGTAAAGGTTTCATCCAACCTTGGAAGATCCAATTTCACATGAAGAGGAAGTGTCTTAACTTCGCATCGTGTTGAATCAGATGATTGAATGATTGTAAGTGAAATATCTGACCCCGCAGATGGGAACGCATCCTTGACCGAAGCACGCATTTGTATACGCTGATCAAACGAGATGATATCATCGTTAGCGTAGCCGAAAT